GAGATCCAACCTCAATCGGAGAACCAATTAGGCACTGCTCTGATTCCCCATTAGACAGTACTACATCTCCAGACAGCTTGTTTGCGGAAGAAGGCCCCGCTACAATCGATGTAGTTGATGAAGCAGCTAAAGAACGGGGCGATTCGTCACCCACCTCCAAGGTTCCTTCCTTATATTTGTAGATGATTCCGTTCTCTATACCCTCTTCGGCAATATTAGTGTTCTCAATAATCTCCTGATGTTGCTCATCTTCCTCATCTGTCTCCTCACCAGCGTCATCCTCTTCTTCTAAGGAAGATTCTTCAGAAGTGAAAATGTTGTGTCGTTTACTGCTGCCTTTCGGTCTGCCTCTCTTGCGTGCTACGTCTGATAACGAATCGCATGCACAAGGTGAAATAGCTGATCGGCGGCCGATTAGTCTCATCGATGCCCTCTGTACACCGAAGCCAGGTGATGAACACGAATTTAAATGACGATCGACCTCACAATCCTCGCAATCCTCGATATACTCATCGCACTCATCTGTTGCATTTTCTTTGTCAGCTTCATCCATTATCTCATCACCTTCCTCATCGTCAGCACTGATCACAGCATTGTTATTCCGAATAGAAGGATGTCGGGCATGTGCCGTAGAGGTGGAGCAAACAGAGGGGAGATCACTATGTATTCGGCGACGTGAATTGGAAGCAAGAGCAGATGTCTGCTTTCGGAGAGAATGACGACCGTTAATCGCTCGAACAGCTTGTAAATAGCTGCATTATGCGAGAAAGGGTTAAGTATTATTATTATTAAAAATAACTGAAGTATAAAAATAAAGATTTGATAACTAGGATTTACTGGGTCTCCAATTGAGACCCTATTGTAGTATTCCTTCTAAAATCATTAGATGGAACTATCGAAATTATTTGTTGAAAATAATTTGGAATCTCTTAGGTAAATTGAATTTACCCAGAACGGCATGGAATGATGACAATATGTATGTAGCTCCATCACAAATAGATGGCAGGATAGTGAGAAATCTCTGGTATAGGTGATTTTTCCTGGAATCCTCATAGCCAAATACAAAGTATCCGAAAAGTCCACATCATATATTCAGCACCAATATTTGATAATAAAGATAAATGGCATCAATGACCAGAGTTCCGAGTACATACATGTTTTCAGCAGTTTTTCAGTAGATGCTAATGGACAGCTTGCACGTAACAGATAGCATAAAGCCATTAAGATTAGCTAGAATAGTGGCAAATTCGCTCCATTTAAATAAAAAAGGAGGTAGAATACAGATGCGAAATGAAAATGCAATGACCTGTTCCTCCTAGAGGGTCGGGTGGCGAATCGACGCAACTCTCCAGCACCATATAGTCCAAGGCGAGTGCGAGTGGT